CTGTGCGCACTGTATATATATATATATATATATATATATATATATATATATATATTCAGAAGTGCACCTCATTTCTACAGCAGTGTGGATCATTATTATTGGCATTTAGCGTGTCATCCAGCATGACCAGGTTATAGATTACAATTCCTGCTCATCTATGACACATGTCTGTGAATTAATTCAATAGAGAATCTGAGCAAACAGACCGTCAGAATAATGAATTTCTCTCCGGGTCGGCCGGTAAGCTGTGCCTTCTGACGGCCTCCTATTTTCCAATATTTCACGTGAAAGCGACTGAGCTTTGATCAGCGTGCATGACGGAGAGGAAATTAATGCCGAGCACTCACAGAGAAAAAAGCAACTGCGGGTCCCGCAGCTTACAGGGAATTGAGCTTCACATCACACCAGTTCAAGATATTCATGCAATTTTTGGGTTAGACAAATGATCTACTTATAAAAATAAATAAAATGCATATCTCATTTCTTCAAAAGGTTGCTTGATTTTAGATTTTTGTTTGTACTATACTTAATGCACAACATCACAGCACAAAACACACTGTTTCATGCCAGGCATAAAGGAACCCTGATGTTACATCATTCCCCCTGTGCACCATTCATATTTTTCTATCACCGTCTCTCTCACACACACACACACACACACACACACACACACACTTATATACATACAATACATTAATAATTGGAATAAATACATAAAAATAAGAACAATAAAATATATTAATTATATTTGTATTTACGTATATAAAAAAATTATAAATACATTTTATGCATTAAAATTTTTATATATAGCATAAATATATTACTATTTAATATATATATATATTTATATATATATACACACACACACACACACACACTTTTTACACAATTAAATTATTGCATGAATAATCAGATTAAACAATTGTTCCATCCAATAGTGTAATTATTGTATGTCTAATATGTCATTTGATATTACATTAAAATAAAAATAAAAATGTATATATACTTTTATATATATAATTTTTTATTACTTATTTTACTTTTTCTCTCTCTACATACACTATATATATATATATATACAGTGGGTACGGAAAGTATTCAGACCCCCTTACATTTTTCACTCTTTGTTATATTGCAGCCATTTGCTAAAATCATTTAAGTAAATTTTTTTCCTCATTAATGTACACACAGCACCCCATATTGACAGTAAAACACAGAATTGTTGACATTTTTGCAGATTTATTAAAAAAGAAAACCTGAAATATCACATGGTCCTAAGTATTCAGACCCTTTGCTCAGTATTTAGTAGAAACACCCTTTTGATCTAA